GAATTTTTTTTATTTTCTGGACATAAATTATATAGAAATTATCCGAATGCTCTCTATGTCCGATCAATTTCGTCTATTCTTTTAGCTATTATCAGGGATGATTTTATTTTTACATTTAAACGAATGTATGGATTTTTTATGTATGTATCTATTGCTGATAGTATCTGGAAAATTAAAAATTCCTAGAAGTAGAAATCGAAGATTTTGAAATTTGTTCAGTATTTCAAGAAATTAGAATTTTATCAATTCCTAATCAATAATTTAATTAGTATAATTGTTTTTTTTTTTTGTTTTTGCTTCACAACTTAATGAAATGCAGATTATTTTTTAAAAAGACGCATCGACGAATGATAATTGGTTATGAAGATTGTCTAGCTGCCCATTACTTTGGCTTAATGAATTCGATTCTCACTGAGCATCTCATAAATGTGACCAGGAGCGCAAAATCAAGACACGTTTATTAAATATCAAGATAGTAAATAACTACGTCTGGTTATTTTGTTTAGCTTTCTGTGCGACGAGCCTTGAAGAAACGATCTTTCTTATTAAGAAAGCCTTCCTGCATTGAAAATTAGCTTTTTCAATAACAACTTCTAATTAGGTTCGAATATTTAATGCCATATGTAAATTACGTTTATGTACTATAAAATTGTAGTCCTAGCTATCACTGAAACCCAAATTACCAACGCCACAATTCTTTTACATCATCTAGAAAATGCCGGCAACGATGTTGGACTATGTCAATGACTCTAAGACTGAATTCCTAAGCTTCAGCCGGCAAGGATCACTATAAACTGTCTCAGGTGAATCAATAAAATCTATCGAATGTCTTACATACCTAGGAAGCGAAATAAATTCTACTGAAGAGGCTGTGAAAATTAGCGTATCTAAAGCTTGAACCGCCCTAAATAAAATGGATGTAATCTGGAAATCTGATCTACCAGACAACCTCAAACGGAGACTCTTTCGAGCCATTGTAGAAGCGGTGTTAATGAATGCTGCCATTGCTTGTGCATTAAGTAAATCCCTACAATCTAAGCTTTATGGAACCTATACTCGAATGCTATACTTAACATCTCCTGCAGACAACATCCAAATAAATCAGTTTTATGGATCCATCTCTGATATTTTTACAGTCTTTTATGAACGCATAATACGCTTTGACACTGCTGGCGTGTAAAACAGGAACTTGGGAGAGATCTACTGCTCTGGACGCCTAGTCATGGAGCGAGACGAGTTGGTCGCCCAGCAACCACCTACATTAACAAGCTATGTTATGACCTTTCGACCTTGATATTTGACCGTGATGGTTGGCGTTATAGAATTCATAAATGCCTGAGTTAGCTCGACTGAAACAAACTATAAAACTAATACTTCCTAATTAATTTCCAATTGTGAAAAATGGGGCTCAAATATTATTTTAAATTACCTCCACAATAGAAGACTCAAGGGCCACTCAATGTAGAGTTTACGCGAATGTAACAGCTAGATAAGATAACTCAAGATTTGAATAAGTTAAGATTGTATTTCTTCTGAGCGGTATTAGTATTGAATTAGCATTAGAAATCTATATATTCCCTCAAAGCGCTCTGGCGTTTTGGTGGACTAGTAGTGAGTAGGCATTGTTTGAATGGTTATCCCTATCTCGGAATACAATCACACATCTTTCACATTTGGCCTTGTGAAGTGCTAAGCTTAGTAAATATCGATATACAATAAAATTATATCGTTCACTCTTTATTATGAAACATTAGCGACAACAGCGAATACTACCAGCAAGTATGAAAATATCAAATTTCACTTCTATCATACATTCAAATAGAAACAATAAATTCTTTATATGCATCTACTGGCAGCATGGCCCGGCGTTGCCTGTGCTTGATTCAAAATCGTACGACTCATACAGCAATCGCTATCACTTGACTTAAAATATTTTTGCTCTTCCTTGCCATTAAAGGAGTGTCCTTTCCCGTGCTGATGTTGCTACATGCCTTACTTCTTGCCTATCTCACATTGCGATTTTTTTCTAAGCTCTATACTAAACATTAAATCTGTTACGAAAAAAAGAACTAAACACAATGAACACAAAACCACCCAACCCAGTTCTACAGAATCAGAATCAACGTTAAGTTTAGGCAAGCGAATGAGCCAATTGGAGTAAAGTGCCATGCAGATTTAAATTTTTCCCACTTGTGACGAATGCAGCTATCGATTTTTTTTTTTTTTTTGCATGCAAGCATGCTAGTTAACATTCGTGTCAGTCAAGATGCTGGCTCTCACGCTGGCCAATAGAATCTTCCTGCCTATTCGTGGCAGTCAGCTATAGGTTCTCACTGTGGCCAATAGAAAATGGCCACAAACTACATGAAAACTGCCGTAGAAGCATGAAAAAATCGATTATTTCCACTATCGATTGCAGTTGCGAAATGCAAAGTCGGTCTTCGTCTCGCCGCTAACTTGGACCATGTGCATGTAAATTTTGGTGCAAATCCGTCGAAAATTTCGGCCGTGCATTCGTTACACACACAGACACACACACTGCCTTTTATAGATAGAGATAAAAATTGGAATTCTGATGTTTCTTGGTAACTATGTACCGATTTATTTCTCTAGGCATTATTATAACAGAAGGTTTGCAATGTGTGAATTAGGTCCAGATTCGAAGTAGAGTTATAAATACCATTATTTTCCTTTTCATATTTTCCAGTAAATCTGCTTTTAGAGAGACCACGATTATATATTTGTAACTGACAATCAGCGTTCGAACGAATAAAAACGTCTTGCTTCAAATGCATTTTCCGTTTCTTTTGTAACAAGCAACAATTTCTAAGCATTTTAAGACTAAAAGTTCTAGTAGTATATTAAATGTCAACCTTTTCAAAACAGCGCTGCTACTTGAAGTTTGACTGCCATACCACAAATAAAGGCATCAACGCTATAATAAATAAATTAAATAACATTGGCTTCTTCGTCTTTCTTGTTGTGAATTATTTTTAATGAATCAAACTAGGATTGAAACCGGCATTGTTATGAATTCCAGTCCAATGCACTGACCATTGTGTTATTTACCTGCATAAAAACTAGTAACGTTAATGCCTTCTAAATTCGTGGGAATATCGTCAGTTTATTATCGTCTATTGTGTTTCAAAGAAATGATTTGAAAGAGTATCGCTTTGGAGCAAGACTCATTGTGACGTCATTCTAAGTAGAACTGACGTCACTATCGGCAGAGCTACTGAATGAAATGAAAGTCGTAGGAACGATACTTTATAGGCTGACGTTTTTGGAGCGACATTTTTGTATAGAATAAAATAAAACTAAACTCCGAAAAATTAAATAAATCAAATATCGTTTTAATTTCTTAAATAGCTCTTTCTAGATGTGGTGAATATGTTTAAAAAAACAGCACCTTCCTGAAACCTGCTATTATCAAATTCATCATATATATTGTCGCCCTCAGATTGTTTTGCTGTATCACAGCTCATCAGTGTAGCTAGATGTCTGGTTGCCTCTACCTAGGATCGAAACGCGGCTGATTTGGCATCAATCGGAGATTCTACCGCTAAGCCGTTGACGCACGGCAGGGACGAAGGTGAATTTGAGCGTATTTATTTTTTAGATGAACACGCAGTGACTTCGAAAACTCGAATCATTTTACTGAAGAGTCTTGCATTATTAGCAGTAATAGTCACTGTTATGGACAAATTGCCAAAACCTAAAAACATTATCCAGAAAAGGTCTCGAACAAAAACGTCAATACTAAAAAACAAAGGCCTAAACGCAAGCCTACTCAGTAAAGTGCCCAGATCCCAGATTGCCTGGTCAAGGCAAAAATGTTTTATAACGTTAGTTCCTATGAAAAGATGGCCGAGCTTCACGCTTAAGCGAACTTCAGACGACTTAAAGATTGGCCATTCTTTCATATCAGTTCGTTTATACATGATAAAGATTAATTTATAAATTATTCACAATAAAAAATTAAGAATGTTTATTTAGTAAAATACAACAATTCCTCTAATACTAGTTTATTAGTACTATAAAATGAATAACAGTCATATTAAATTTATAATTTAATTGGTTATAAATAGGCATGGATAAACTATGACATTTATCTACAGAATTATCTATTTCCACATGTAATAAAATATTCTGCTTTTGAAATCATTCAAAATAAGAATATAAAATAATTAAAGAAAAATATTAAAGCAATGTATGAGCAGCCAGATCCACCTATTCTTGAGAAATTCAGTTATGTAACAAGAAGCATTTTCAGTTATTAGTATCAAGTAATGCTCCTGTTAAAAAACGGAATATCAGATTACTATGGAAAAACCATTCTACAAGGAAATAAAGTCACTTTGTGTTTATATTATAGGTTAATAGATACTGTAATAAAAGTTATTTGATGCATAGAAGATTTGTTCTTACTGACGGTCTAAGTTGATTTCTTTTTCATATCTTGCTAAAGTCTAGAACTATTCCCTTTGGACGAAAGAGAAGCATTTTGCGGTTTTTATGACATATCCGAATTCTCAGCGTAATTATTTATGAATTATGTTTGGGATTTAATTTTTTTTAATCATTTTACCCCAAGCAAAGCGATAATGCTACTTAAACACAAGGGGCCCCTGGAAGTAAATGAGAATGTGAAAACCTTCAGAAAGAACCGGAAACCTAGTCCTAAATAGAAAACCAGAGATAAAACTGATCTTGTTCAAAAAAATTGACAAGGACTGTGAACCGGGCGATACTTAAAACTATTTACTCCTATTCTTACAGTGGTAGCTAAAATCGCGGAAAAGGCAGTCAACTGCATTTCACATATTTTAATTGTTAGTAGTAATCTTTAATAATTACATTTCGGCAGATGCATTTCTCAGTCCTTCTCTGATTTATGATTCATCAAGTATTCGGTTTTGCATCTGGTAACTGCAAACGATAATGCACAAGACAATCTGAGATATTTTCCAGAATTGATTAAAATTCTTTCTTTACAATTCCTAAGAGAGAGCGGCGATCCCATTTTTTTTCATCAATTGTTGGCCATTCCGGTTGGGTTTGACTTTGCTGGGCATCACCGCCCACTATTTGAAATAAAGTCACTTTACCGTGAAATAGTAGTCTGTAAGATCTTACTGATAAAGTGAGCTTGATTCTCACCAAGCGCCTTATAATTGCGTCCTTGTGCAATTAATAAATATATAAATAACTTGGAGAATATAGATCAAGTTAGCGCCTTAAATTAAAGGCTGACTTTTTGGATAAAGCTTCGTAGCATTCCCTCAATAGCACCTAGATTGAGGCATAAATCATTTTCATATATCAACTTTATTCTTCAACATTTTACAAATGGTGCCCCAAAAACAGAAATTAATTATAACTCAATCGAATTGAAAAACCCAGCGAAAGCCGATATTTTTTTTAAAAATTAAAACAGTTACTTTGATTTCATATTTTTCTTTCTTATGAAAGCTTTTCAACATTTATTTTAATATTCTGATTTATTAAAATAATTAGATTTGCATGGTCCCATAAAAATTATTTTAAACTCATATATATATATATATATATATATATATATATATATATATATATATATATATATATATATATATGTATTCAGTTCAAAATATTTAAATATAATGAAATTATAAATATTCATGACTTCAGTGCACATGTGTCGGCATGTATGTATGTATGCATGCATGCTTGTGTATGAGGGTAGCTGTGTGTATGCGTGTGTGCGAGTGAGAGTGAGAGAGCGTGTTTATTTAAGCATTAGAGAGAGAGATGGGTAGAGAGATCTCAGGAAAATTGATATGATATTCCTAAAACTGTATGATAAAAATGTGTTGTAAGAAACTTTTTGAAAGAAATATTTATTCAGAAGCGAGAGAAAATGTCGTATTGGATAAGTAAATGAAAGAAACAATGCGACTGAGTATCAAAGCCAGGTGTAAGTGAAATAATTAGTCTTACAACGATTCGTACGTGAAGATATATGTAAAGATATAAAGTTAATCTTGTGAGTGAATCACATGAAGAAAATACTAAGCAAAAAGCATTTAAATAAGATACAGTATCAATTATTATGAGTATTTTAAAACGATCGTGTCACTTGGAAGAGGTTCCATCGAGGCATAGACATGGATTTGCCCTTAATTTCTAAGATGGTAAACGGAGGGATTCCCTTATTATCCAGTCAGTATCTTCTCTGCTAAAAGATGCCAAATCAATTACGAAATCGCTTCGTCAATGTATTTGGTGATGAAAATGCACAGGCCTAAGTAGAATTAGGTTTTTTGTTCTTTGCACAAGAACATTTTCGCAAAGTAAACGCAAGAAAACCGAAACCTCGTCTCGTAGATTCCATAATACCAGAATAGGTCTAATATATACCAAGTGACTAACGATACTATAGAAATCTTATGCTCTGCCCCCGCCTTAAAAGAAAAGGAATCAATTTATGTTACTATAAAAAAAAAATAATTGTGAACGGAAGAGAACATCTAAATCAAGTTTAGTGAGTATTTTGTCATGTGATTAGCAAACAATATTTTTTTTATTAATGAGAAAATTGATTTAATGTCAGTTTGTGAAATACTTAATGACAGCAGAAATTTTAAAATACTAAAAACCTTCTCCGCTGCAAAAGAAAATAAAAAAAAGGATTCCCAACAAGTAAATTATAGTCTCAATAAAAATGTCTTTTTTATGTATGTCCATAATTTTATCATTCCTATGTGCCTGTCAGTTCATCGGACCATGGGACGCCATTGTTTGCTGCGCATGAACACGGAGAATCTCACGGGAAAATGCGCCAAAAGGCATATAATATATATATATATATATATATATATATATGTGTGTGTGTGTGTGTGTGTGTGTGTGTGTGTGTGTGTGTGTTGATCTAGAATTTATATATGCATTATTTACGCAATAACTTATTTGTTAAGTAGACGATATGAAAAGTATTTTTGTTTGTTTTTGTTTTTTTTTTTTGTTTTTTTTTGTGAATTTTCTTCTTTTTTTCAAATACCAGCTGCTGTTGCAAAGTTCACTTTTCCTTTTTAGCAAATTGTCTTGGAGTCTAATTTTGGTGCATTTTGTAATTCAGGTGCGATCTCTGATGGATGTTTTTTTCCCCCCAAATTTTTATAAGCTTAGTACGTCACAACGCCAAATGGTGGAAAGATGCGAGTAACTGAAATCTACGAATGTTTTGTAGCCTGCCTTGAAAATCAGCCTTGGAAATCTTAGTGTTAACCTAGTCCCAAATTTTGACCACTGGTGCCGAGGAAATAGGCCAACATTTCAGACACTATAAAGGCCTGCATTTTTGTTGCAATACCAAGTGTAGTAGATTTTTATCATTTTTTTTTTTAATATTTAAAGTAAAATCACCTGTAAAGTTAATATACATGTGCTTGTGCGTGCGTGTGTGTGTGTGTACAGGTGTGTTCTTTTTTATATACCTGCTAAAATATTTCCCTCGTGTTAAGTATCGGAAGATTAATAATAACTTGTATTTGTCTATGGGAATAACACGTCGGAATTCTAAGTTAAGATATCAACCACTGCAGACGGTATTGAACAATTCACAGTCCTATTTTTTCGTCTCAAATATGACCAAATGGTCAAACATTAGAATTATTTATAGAATCCTTCTTAGTTGGATAGAGAAAATTTTCAGCATTACCTTATGTGTCTTTCGTTTGCAATAAAAAGTCAACAGGGCGAAAACCAATAAAAAATATATAACAAGGATATAACATTGATCTCAGCATATTAATGATTATTTTTTATGTAATTAATATAAGTGTTTAATTTGGATTCTTATTTTACTTTAATCTTTCCAAATGAAATTTGTAGATTTCCAAGATTCTAAAGAAAAGACTTTCCGCGAAAGTTCAATTCGTTTTTCCTGTGTTTGTTCGTCTGAAGTATAAATGATTGTTATGTGACGTTTTCAATCTTTGACAATCTATGAACATATGAAGTAGAGTGGATGAGGCTAGCAAAATTAATTTTGGTGATAAAAATATTTTATTCGCTTCTTGTTTTGTTTCTGTAATCATGAACTCCTTTTATTTTCCTCTTTTTTTCTTGTTCGTCCCCAGCCAGAAAAAAATCAGATGTATTTTTATCATAAAAATAAAATATTATTTCACTGCCATTTCTATTATTACAAGGTAAAAATTAGATTTTTCAGATAAATGAAAACATTCGTTTTTGTCTTGGAAATTTGTGTATTATGTGTCAACATCCACGTGCTATTTCGCTTTTTTTTATTCTTTAGTTTGACATTCTCTTTTGAGATTAGCCCATGTCAGTAGAAAAATGTTCCAGCTTTTAGAAAGACTTGTTCGTTTTAATTTCCAACTGGTCTCGTACTAAGCGCAAGTCTTTCTTCATTAAAATGAAGCAAGGAATTTTTTTCTTTAGCATTCATCATTTTCTAATTGCAAAATAATCCAAAAATCTTCAGATTTTTACGCAACTTTTCCAATTCTTTGGACTGTCAGCACCAGAAACAAAACAATTAAAGCGTGTATTTATGAATCATTAAGTTATGTTTGTTGCAATCTTTAAAGAAAGTTGCAAGAATTGGTAGTTGCGATGGTTGGAATATGACTTTATTTAACGCATCTCCTGTTTATTTCGTTATTTAGTTATTATTCTTTATTATTATTCAGAAAGTTTTGTGAAGGCAGAAACAAAATAGGAGGAGAAGTCGTAGTTAATATCTTCATACATGGCCAAAAAATCTATATCAGCGCTATTAGAGCTGGCGTTATTATTGCCATTGTTAGAACTTCGATTAACCTGTTGCTGTTGATGGAGTGTTTGTTGCTGTTGTTGTTGTTGTTGTTGCTGCTGCTGCTGCTGCTGCTGGTGCAAATGCTCCTGTCCGACCGGTATCGAAGGGTTGCTGCTAAGGTTTTGATTGCCGTAAGGCATACTCGGCATTGATTGATAATATGGATTGATCGTCTCAAGCCCCTGCAACGATGGCTGTTGCTGCTGCTGTTGTTGTGACAGTGGTGGAAGCGATCCATTGCAATCAATTGGCGAAATCTGGCTAAAAACATCTCCTATAGAACCAACCCCTCCAGCTGTAGGAGCGTAGCCGTTACAAAGTGGTGGGCACGCGTTAGGAATTTCTGCGAATTCCGTACCATCTGGAGGATCTGTCAAAAGAATGGAGTCTATATTGCTTTCGTCTTCAGTTTCTTGTGCAAGAGATGGAAGAATCATGCCATTGCTAGTGGTGGTAGTAGTAGTATTGGTTGTGGTATTGATATGATGATTTATACCGTCACTAACAGCAACTAAGCTTAATTCAGGCGTTGACAGGGACGAAATATCTACGGTAACTAACGGTTCGTTGTAACTGCCACTGGACATTAGATTATGCTGTCGATCAACCATCTGGAGCATTGGTGGTGGCATGCCAGTTGTTCCGTCTGATTGGATCATGTTATGTTGTGTTTGCTGATGGTGTGGAGCAAGGTGTTGGGAATTCTGCATATCTTGTTCAGACTTGGTTGAGTACGTATTCTGATGGTTAATCTGCGACATGAGCAAATGTTGTTGCTGCTGTTGCATTGTATGCATGTGTTGTTGTTGTTGTTGTTGATGATGTTGTTGCAAATTCTGCATATGCTGCTGTTGTTGCATAGCTTGCATATGTTGCTGCTGCTGTTGTAAAGATTGCATATGTTGCTGTTGTTGTTGCTGCTGCTGCTGCTGTGTTGGCTGTAACACCCGAGTATTAGGTGATTGATTACTGTAGCCTCCCACGCTAGTGATCGGAGAACTGTGTGAGGTGACCACTGACGGACTGTACCGCTGGCCGGCTGAGGGACCCTGTGTAATGAGGCTGCGAAGAGTGACACAATCTGAGTGACGAACGTCCATTGAAAGGCTGGCCGGCACACGGCTAATCCATTCATTGGTCAAGTAGCGAGCGCCACCCGACGAATTCTGTCCGTATTGCTGGCGTAGGAGATCACTGTAGCTCACCCCAGACATCATATTACTGTTGGGGTACTGGTTGTTCTGGGCATAGTGCGATCTAAACGGCATGTCTTCCGACGGAGGAAATTTAAACATTCCTGAAAATAATTAATAGCATTAATAGAATATATTTTAAAATTAATAAAAATTATCAGAATCATTTATTCACAATTATTATTTTTATCTGTTTCTGTAGCTAACCTTTTTTATTATTAAGAATTTTAAAAAAATTGTTCTCTTCATTTAGATTATGTTAATTATTTGTAGTTTTCAATTGTTTCTGATAATAAAATTACATTTTCGCCATTTTCTTATAATAAAAATAATTTTCAATAATTTTCGATAATAATTTTTTTAAATTTTTTTGTTCGTAGTAACCTTTTTAAACTATAAGTATTTGGTGACATTCAGTTAAGATTACGCGACATCAAATACTCCTACAATTTCCTCGTAATGTCGTCGTATTAAAAATTATATTTCTTCCTTAAATTCCGAATTATTCCAGATACTTTTAACATTCTCAGCAAAGTAGAAATGTTTGATACAATTGTCACTTTCATTCCCCAATATTTTTTCGATGTTAATAAAGAAGATCGAAAGATTGCTTATCTATAAAAATTATTTTCCCTACACACCTAAAAAATCCGCTGATATTTACGAGTGTCACAGACTATTTAAATAGTTCCAATATAAATGGTAGTCCTACTAGTAGTTTATACTAGTGGCGCATAAGAGATATACAGTAATTATCATTGTGCCATATCCTTTCAGGATGAGAATGATCATGGCTCTCCACAACTACCAGCTAATTTTTTTTTTTTTTGTTTAAGTAATTTCATTATCATTCTTTCTTTGGTCTTGTTATTCATTCACTCAATCTATTTCAGTGGGCTACTCGGCGTGCACCCGCTTATCTTGTTATGTAGTGTTAAATTCTCCAAGCCTTCGTTCCTCTTTAGGTATTCTAGAAATTTCAGCTGTCGTTTACTATTGGCAGTTATTTCGTATTTTCTATTCGCCTTAAAACTTCTTCGTTAGTCATATTTTCTGATCATTGTAACCTCATCCTTCATCGATAGAACCAGATCTCTGTCTCTTCAGATTTCTGTGGAGATTTTTCCAACATTCAATCCTATATAAGAGATTAGATATTACACAGGAGTCAAACATGTTTCTTTATTTTCTTTTATCTTAATACTATGCCTAGTTTATGAAAGACATTTTCGCTATTCTTAAGTGCCTTTGGATTTCGTATTTCGGTGTCAAACATTACGTTTTAACAGTTACATTTCTTTTAATTGTGTCAATGTTATACATGAGTTAATTGCCGAAAAACAAATTTTAAAAAAGAAAAAGTAAAAAGATTATTACCGTCTGTGTTGTTATGCGGTGACATTTCTGGTGTGAGGACACCGCTGGTCGTGTTGCGGTCATAGGTGGTCTTCTCGGCGGTGAGGGTCCTACACTTGTCAACCCCTTCATTCTGCGGACTGGAACATGGGGACGAGTCCGGCGTGTTCAGCAAATTAGACAAAATTGGGGCGCTGGCCGTGATACTGTTCAGTCCACGCCCACCGCGAAGACAACTGTTTTGCATGATGAGGGGTGAGGGGTTTTCCGGCAGACCAGAGCTCGTTACTGCCGAATTACTGGATCCTGATCGAGAAATGTTGGTTGCTGTACTTGCAGAACCCCCGGCACGTTTCATATTCCTTTTCGGAACTTTCCTTCTCCGGGGTCGATATTTGTAGTCCGGATGCTCTTTCATGTGTTGCAAACGAAGGCGTTCGGCTTCTTTTACAAACGGTTCGCGTTCGCCCTGAACCATGTCCTTCCATTTTTTGCCTGAAATGATATGAATGACAGGGAATTATTATTATTATTATTATTATTATTATTATTATTATTACCTGTTTATGTAGCGTATAATATCACTGGAAGAACTTATACTTCAAAATAGTCATTCTCAGGTTATTACATCCATAGCGAGAGACTGCAAATTCCTATGGGAAATGGAAACGAAAAACATCATGTCTCTATTACATTTAAAATATACATAAAAGTTTGTCTCTACTAATTGAATTTTACTAATATTCCCAATACAAGGCCCAAGAGCCACTCAAGGTAGTGGATTACTTTGTGGGCACATATTACCGTAGGAAACAACAAACATTAGGAATATAGAGCTGAAGTAGACTTTAGAAGGAACCGAAAACCCAATCCTAAACAGGAAACTAGAGATAAACCTCTACTCCTGTTCAAAAGCCAGAGTATTGTGAACCAGACGATAGGTGAACCTATCTACTGTTAATTTTCCTATTACTCTTTAGCTGATATCTATTTTTTATGGACAAAAAGTAAATATTAGCGTGTTCGGAAATATTATTTCACCACTAAGAATTATGAGTCAACAAATCAAGTGACAATCAAGGTACAAAATTGCATCTAGAATCACATTATCATCACAGCTCTCTGATAGCGTGCAGTTCATAGGGCATTTCAGATTTTAACCCCATCAAGGATTTAAAAAAAATAATAACATTCATCAATACTTAGTGTATGATTTACGAAAGGTATTTTAAAATGTGTGCAGTGTCCTACATTTCACTTGTGGCTTTAAAGCTTTAAAAATGGTGATTTTAACAAAGAACACACTGAATAAAGAACTTTTGAAAGAGAATATTGAATTAGATACACGCCAAAGCCTATCAGATTTGATGCAAAATAAATAATGCATCATATTCAAGAATTAGAATAAAATTGCAAAGAGAGAATTTGGATTCCTCAAGAAAAGAAACCAGCTCAAAAACCACATCCATATCTACATCTAGAGAAGTTCTTGGTTTATGTCTGGAGGAATAGGAAAATTATCGTCCCTAACGTGCATCTGGAGCGTGGAAGGACCATCATTACAAACGCATATTGCCACTCATTTTATCGAGAAAACAAAGCATTAGGTTGAACTTTGGTAAAGAGAAAGAGCAACATTCTCCACTATGTCAATATAATATGCAAGACAATGATCATTAAGAGAGGTGGCGGTCCTCCACAACCTCCGTACGTACCGGATTTCGCAAGTACAGATGTGTTTTTATCACTCAAATATTTCATAAGTGGCAGAACATTAACAAAATGAAGTTAAAAACAGATTTTCAAAATTTTTTTTTTTCTTTTTCGGGGAAAATCCTGATTTCCTTAAACGGGGAATCGAAAAGTTGTTGGTTAGCAATCGTTTAAAATGAAAACGGTTAAATTTTTTCTTCAAATAAATAATGTTATTTGCAAATAATAAATAAATTAAACTTAGATTTGTTTTTTATATCTTTTATAAAAATAAAATTATTTCTGAACACTCAAATATTTATGCTAGTTGGGAACATTTAAAACCAGTCTTGTGTCACATCCCGCCATTGTGGGGATGTCTGGCTAAATACCTCGTTGCAAACATGTAATAAATGACGACAGAAAAAGTCAGGAAAAATGGATTTTCATTGGTCAGGAATTAAAGGCAGGCATGACTCTCAAAAATGGCTCCAGATAGCATTAAATCTATTCAAATATCTCGTTAGGACTTTTTGCCTCGTATTTTTCTGTATTTGTTTATCATGTAAAATAAAAGATGTAAAATATTTACCTGTTTTATAAGCCCTATTATAATATATGCTAGTATATAATTTAGGATTTAATATTTATGTGTTTTTATTTAGAGTATTTTTATAATAGTACTCGGATCTTTGGCGGACTGACATTTAATCGAATGGACATTTAGCCGAAAATGTAATGTCGGACTTACATGTATGTCATTTTTTATCGTAATGTGCTACATATATTTATTCACTGTATTAATTTATAATTTCTCGTTTTTTTGTTTCAGGATTTTTAAAAAATCTTTTCTGTGTATATTATATTTTACTTCAAATATTACTTTAAGATGATAAGTATTTTGAGAAAAAGCACATTTTACTTAAGATATTACGATATGAAAGATCTTTCAATTTCGCTTCTAATAATCATTAACTTACTGTTAAATACGAATTTAAATAATTAGGTGCTACTTTTCACCCAAATACACTCAAATATGTTTTAGAATACTAATTTCAATTATCAAATATTGAAATAAGAACAGTCTTAGCTTTACATTTAGATTTAGTAATTTAATCACTTGAAATTCAGTGGTGATTATTAGTCCTATTCTACCTTATAATACTTCTAATTAAAATAATTAAAGTATTGCTTGTTACTATTTTTACTTGTACTTTTTCGGTGAAATATATCAGGCGGCCAAATGTCCGGCCACGCATTATAATATATTATACTGGCCACGAATTAATTTAATCTGGCCGTCAAGGTATAAAAGAAATGGCTGGGAATTGAATCAGCAAGTTTTCTCATATGTACAGAATAGTCTTAATTATACGTGTTAGCCGTAATTATAAAATTAAAAAGTATACAATCTTTATTATATCTTTTTTCTCAAATAGATTGAAAACAAAAACAGAAACTATTGGTTATGAATTCATATAAGGAAAAATGAATATATGTATATGAAAAACATTCCTATAATGAGAGATCTATAGATGAGAGATCAAGCTTAATAAACATTTTAACTTGATTAAAACTATAAACATATCTGGCGTTGAGACGATTACGCTGGTTTTAACTCAATAATTTGGCGGGAAAACTCGAGATAATGGCGTCTTGTAGAATAGGTAGGGAGGGAAAGCTTTGTTGTAAAATCGCGCCAAATGTGTAAAAACATCTGGTAAAATTCTTTCGCCGATAGGGAGGTGTATTTATAGAAAAAAAAAAATTCCGCACCCTTTCCCTCGCTTTTTAAACTCTCCCTCATTTACCAACTCACTCTCTCTTCTCAAGTGCTTCCTTCAGGAGGGGCTAAACCCTAGCTTTTCACATCCCGATCCGTTAACCTGACTAGTATTATCTCTTTTCTCTTAGTGTGTGACTGTGTTTCTTAGAAGAATAATTGACATTATTTTGTGTGTTGTTCAGACAAGTATTTTCGCCCATGTTTTTATCACTACTTTTCGGTCCATCGTTTCTTTTTGCTCTCTGTGTTTTTGTTATGTCGAGATTTATTCTGTAAAGTGTAAAGATAACGTATAAAAATGTGTAATATATCAATGTATTATGAAGCTAAATGATAATTATAAATCTAGTCAGTTCTTTGTTTTTCTCACAGGCTTCCGAACAGCATAAATGTATCGTGCATTCGATCGTGCTATCTGAAAGTAGTATAAATCGATATCAAATTATAGAGTTTCTTGCTGACAGAGAAATAAATCAGTGGGAAAAGCCCGGCTACACTAACTTCACGCTTCAATTCTGACATTATATACAAACGCGCCGGCTACGGAATTAATGATCGTGACTACATACATAAAGCAGTGATATTATAAAGTTCAATGAATTTTGGGATGAGTGTTTATGTAAATACAGTTACACATCTCCAGTTAGGCGCATTAACGATTACTTTTCTTTCCATATATGTTCTGCCATACGTGATTTCGTGGAGTCACTACAGAATATAGTTTTTTTATGGTCATTAAAATACATTATTTTTTGTCGCAAATAACATGTATATGAGATGGAATATGATTTAGATTTTGCGCAACAAGTGACAACTTTTTTTTTAAGTGCGACCTACCCACATTGCATTTGTTAAACTCACACGTGAGAACAAATTATCAACAATCTAAATGCACGAGAGAAAATCGCTAGCGTTAATACCATTTAATTTTCTGCTATAAAGACTCAAGGGAACAAAAGATAACGCTGATGGAGAGGGAGGAGAAGAGGGGGAAAGAAGACCGGAGAAAAAAGGAAGAGAGAAAACTAATGGCAATAAAAGAAGGAATGGGAGACAGTCGATAGGGAGAAAGAATTGGGGGGAGAAAGAAGGCCGACGGAGAGACAGAAAAATAGAGGAAGAATTCCGACAGGGAGAAAGGGAGAAAGTCACCTGAGAGAAAGAAAAAGAAAAGGAAAAAGGTCGACCGGAAGGAAAAAGAAGAGTGAAAGGTAAAAAGCCAACAGAAAGGAGAATATTGAAGAAAGAACGTCGATACGGAGAAAAAAGGAAAAGAAGGCCGTTTGAGGAAAAGAAAAAAGAATGGAAGATGGTCGCCATGGGAAAAGAAAAAGAAAAATAGAAGAAGGGAGAAAGAAGATAAAGAGGGAAAAGAATAAAACCGATAGAAAGAAAGAAGAAATGGAAGATAGTCGACAGCGAGGAAGAAGAAAAGGAAAAAGGTCGACAGGGAGAAAGATGAACAGATAAAGGAAAAAGGCCAACGTAGAGAAAGAAAAAGCGGCTAGGGAAGAAGATAGAGAATGTCGGCGTAGAGAAAGAAGATAGAAATGAGAAAGACTGACGGAGAAAAAGAAGAAGCGGGAAAGAAAAAACGCCAAAGATGAAGAAAAGTGAAAATAATTCCGATAACGAGATAAAAGGAGAACAAAAATACAAGGAAGAATGAAAATAATATACCAAGAAGGAAATGACGAGAATAGACAGCGAGATGGAAAAGCTAGACAAAAAAAAAAAAGCAATGGAGCAAAAAGCGTACGGGAAGAGAGGGTAACAAACAGAAAAGTGCATTATAATAACGGGGAACGATTAAAATAAAGAATGAAAAACAGAAACAATTTTTTTAAAATTTCATACACTTTCTTGTAATTTATGTTCAATTTTTCACACTGTATCTTTATTTTCGGTAACATTATAATCACTACAAGTAGCATTCCATGACGTAACAATAACAACTACTTCATCTCTTAAAGGACTCTGGGAGAAAATTATCAGCAAGTGCACGTTGCTATCGTAATAAAGCGCTACCCAAAAAAAAGAACTTTTTCCTTTGGGGGTTCTCCGGAAAGGTGCTTATCGCAGGACACTCCTCATTCTCAAAAAGGTAAGAGTGGATTGTAAATGATAAAACATTTTCGCGCCCATAAGAAGTATACACCCATTTGTAATGCGGTCATATTACATGACAAGTAAATTCTCCTCATTAGGCAATTAGCTAAAATTCCGGGTTCAATCCTCAAAGGATGTCAGAATCTTGAGTTTCTGGGCAAAAACTTAGCATAGTAAAAAGGCAAATTCATCGTTAAGAAATGATTACTAATGTGGCGAAAAGATTTACGATAGAAGTGATTTTGATCCTTATGTGGTGCTAAACACTGAACTAAAGTTAATAAACTTACATCTTTCACTCGCTTGTGGCTTCATTATATTGTATTTTATTAGGCGTTTTGGTCTAATTAAAAAATTAATTGGAAAAATAAAAATAACCGCCCAAGATTACATAATGTTTGTCTTCTCAACTCATAAATTTTCCACATCACAACCTTACTAATTCACATTTAATCTTGTTCTGAACGTACCTGAACTTTGTAATAAAATAAACGGTGGATGTTTGTGATAGTCATTATTCGTATACTGCAGGGAAATTCCCTTCGCAAATCCTTCTATGACGACTGTGACAATGCTACCAATCAAGCAACCTTTTACTCCACCTGATATAATTCCTTCTCCTAAAGTATCCTAGCCATCTTCATTTATTATCGTTTAATCATATCTTGGTCGCTTAAATAATCCATATTGACTTATTTCTATCTCAGGTGGATATGCAGGTGCTGTAATGGATAGCAATTTTTAATCAAATTTGTTAGCTTTGTTCGAATTCCAATATGGTTTATTACATTCATTCACGCACAAATACCTTGGCAAATGTAAGAACCCATCTCTTCCCCCGAGTTATGGGTTAAATAGTAGGTCTTGTATCATTGTTATTATCGAAAAAATTATAAATGCAATATTCACTCGAAAAAAAATTCTTACAATGCAAAATATTTTGCGACTTCAATGACCCACACGATGTTCATAATCCGTAAATCCATAAAGAAAACAAATTAATCACTTTCTATCTTTAGTTATCCCCCAGCATTGTTCTTTTGCACATGCTTATGTTTGCAAACAGTTTTGTTAAAGTCCATGTTTTGCGTTCGTACGTCATAGCTGGTTTTATGCATTATATAATACACTTTACTTTTCAAGCATACTGGCAAGGTGTTTTCATTAAATGTTTTTCCTTCACAAATGCTTTGTATATAACTATAAACACACACGAGGTCTGCATGCAGTCATTTCGAATATATCCAGAACTGCGCATGAGTGAACAGGCTTCCCCCGCCCGTAGGTTTGCTCAATCAGCATTGATATACCAAACTGAGAGCTTGTGTAATGTGTGACTTTAGTGTTTATCATAACATTCTTTGCCACATGCAAAGGACTAAATATCACTCAAGTGTATCAGCCCTTTATAAAGTACAATGTTGTGTCCCGGTGATATTTGGCTTTTCTTAAAGCTAAGAGTCACAATCGAGAGAGACATTTCTGATAACAGACACTATTAAAGAGAACATAACGAGTTAGCTAATAGCATCAAAGAGGAATTTGCAGACAGTTTTCAAAAGTAGAAAAGATGCTAAGTTATGTGAATAATGTTGTACAAGGAGTACTTTTAACAGGGCAAAATTACCATTATCTTGAGTAGGCTATTTTTATCTTACGCATGTCTGGATGCTTTTTTGCTAGCACTCTTTTCATGCATTATATATATATATATATATATATATATATATATATATATATATATATAAAATTGCAAGCTTTGAATAAGCAGCCCTGCCGAAAAGTAGCCTTCTGGAATAAAAGTGCTCTATGCCATAAAAATGAGAGAGAATTTGAATATTAATTCAATAACCAGGTAGGCAATGACTGGCCACTACTTTACGTTTCATGGTTTTGCACACAATCTTCAGGTAGCCAGTAATATTTACCGACCTCCTCACGAGGTAGGATGTGTCACAAAGCCAAAATTAATATGGGGCTATCCAAACCCGTAGGCTCGGCCAAAAATTCCCTGTAAACGAGTTGGGTCTATCTACCACTCCGGGCGAGACTCTTCCCTTCGGCATAGCCTCGTTCGGGTTCTTCTCTGGCCGAAGGCAAAGAATTCAATAACAGCTAAGTGCTGAGCACGCGGACAGCTCCCGCTGCTTAACTGCTTGATCTTAAGGTAGCCAGTAACTCGCAGAATGTGGAGGGTAGATCATCTAGCCAAGATCTGAAATGGCCAAAACATGGCTAGAAGATTGTGTGAAAACACATGAAACTTCAAGTAGTGGCCAATCATTACCTAACTGGTTATTGAATTTCACTGTTTAATAACAGATGCCAAATAAAGCATATTTACCCACTAAATATAATGTTTATAATAAAACATATCTCAGCATTAGTAACCGTTTTTTAATTTGTCATATCACTCCTGTTCGTCATAAGTATAGTGAGTTTGATCTTCCAACAGCGCCCCGAAACTTGTAGCTGTGTTCCTAAGTAAACTTAGAACATACTTTATGTCTAAATTTCTGGGAAGAGGAGTTCTCATTATTTACAACAAAAACGAGGACAATATTCCTAATATAAACAGTGTAAATTAGAAAATTCCTATAGACAAACTGAAATCATTTTTAGATTAAGAATTTGGGTTTATCTCTTGGGCATATCGAGCTTACTACCCATAATTTGTGATATAAGCAAGGGCAGTTTTAGTATGAATGTGATATTTAGAAAATAGAAAACCACGATATTAAAACGTTGTGAATGGTGTTAAACTAACGTTTAGGCACGAATTCTGACCAGACTTACTCACTTGTATTTACTTATATTTTCTATTGCCCATATTTTGGTAATAGATTTTGTTGATATTTTCAACAGAAATTTTTACACTGAACCGTTATGGAATTCGGAAAACAAACAATCAGTTTCAAATGAAGCTTTAATATGTGCCCAAGTTCGATTCTCGTTCGAAACAAATTAGTATATATTTCAATTATCGGCCAAAGAATAGATCTGATGAAAGTCTGGCAAACAGCATCCAATTTGCAGAAACTACTTTAAATTACTAATAAAATCTCTGTATTAAAAAATCATGTCAACTGATATAAATCGATATTACCCTGATGGATTTGCGCTTAGCGTAACAGTTATTGGCGGGTCTCGTTCAGACCAGAATCGAAGTTACGTTCGCTTTCATAAAAATCCTATAGAATCCATTTCTTCTTCCCAGTCCCAAGCTGGGTGTTAATTGCTCAGCTCCACCAGGTTTTCAAGTTTGGAGTGACAACGAGTCTAGGCAAAAGAAAATTTTATCCCAACCCCGTAAACTCTAAATGCTCACGAAAACCAAAATAGCAACGCCTTTCGTGTTGAAATCGTAGTCCTGCACTACATAGTGTCTAAAATATTTGCTTTTTTTTATTCGTAATATATCTGGTTACCTCGTACCTATCCACGTTCAAATACGGGTCAGGCTGTGTTGGTTATGCAGGGTGCGATGGATAAATTGTCAACATTATTTTCGCGCATGCGCGTTGTTTTATTTTTAATTTTTTTTTTTTTTTTTTTTGTCGACTTCACAATGCAGTAAGGTCAAATAGGCACCGTCTGTGAAAAAAAAAGCACCCTAACACAATTCACTACACCAGAAATTTGAAAACGGCATGCTGTACTACTTGGCATTTGTGACGGAAGCTCCAATACGAACATTTCCGAATGTTTGGGTGTCAATCTGAGGACAGTGCGGAAGATTGGGAAAGAGTTGGATGAGTCTAATGGTGATTACGAAGATACGGCAGCTCGGAGAAGTTACTGATCATTCTGATGAGAAAAGAACTCCCGCATTTGTTGGTGAGGGCCTCAGACTCAACACGCAGGCTAACTTGAATTTCCACATATCCACTTAATAGATATTTTTGGAAATCTCTTTTCTCCACAATTTCCGAGACGAAACAATGGATTTTAGTAAGTTTGAACAGCTCAGTTTTTTTAAATGTTACATAGAACCTTAAGTCTCAAAGCTACAATTTCCGTCCAGTTAGTAAATATTAACGAAATAAAATCATTTGCAATTCGATATTCTTTGATTATGTGTTTTTATGACTTAAGAAATAAGTTATTGTATCATGTTATATTTGTTAGACTAACACGGTAACTATTGCTTTGTAATCTTCTTTAATTAAGTTGCGGGATAATTTATTTTGATTAATATTTCCAATACTAGTTCAATTCACATGATCAGATATTGGGAGGGAAATAGATTCGAGAGGTAGGAATGGCATTTTTTTTTAATTATACGACTATTTCGACTGTGTTGGAGAGACACCCCATAAGGTAAAGTTAGTGTATTAGTCTGGCAAACTATTACACTGGGTGCTCAACATTTATGGCAGCATGCCAGTGAATGTCTTTGGAAGACAAGCTTTAGAGACATGGGATAAAAGTTCAAGTTGGAAACACCTTCTGATTTCACGCAGTTCTCTCTAGCGGTTGAAAACCGTATCAACACACATGCTAAAAAGTAATAATCCTAAGATGGAGTAAAATTAGTACCATAATAATAATGAAACCGTAATGGTTGTTTACGCTTCCAACTGTGACCCCGATGGCTACTTGGACTTCATATTTTAACCACTTACGAATGCTACCTTTAACTCCCCTGCCTCGTCTGCTCAACCCCGACAATTTTTTTTAAG